CAATGTCAAGCCTGAGAAACAGGGTGTCGTGTGCTAGATTGTATCCATAGTTAAAATTACATTTAAAAAAATGTAGAATGCTTCTTGAAAACTGGAGCCACAAAGGAAAATATTAATTTGCCTCCGCTACAGGCTGGCAATGAGAAAAGGGCAATGTCATGAGGAAATGAAGAAAAAAGTGGTCACCATGCACACTAGTACTAGAGTAGGGGATAGGAGGAAGAGCCCTAAGTCACAAACAATCCACATTATCCAAAACCAAACAGACCACATTATGATTTAATGTGATATTGAACTCAGCCTAAAATTAAGAGGGGGGGGTCTTCTTGCACAAACCACTCTTAATCTCTACTCTGTTAAGTTTGCAGCATTCTGTGCAATTAAAATTCTTCACCCATTGAGCGCTACGCTTTCTGGTTGCTCCATTCCCTGTGGTAATATAGGCATACAGTTGTAAGGCGATTTAAGTGGAATGTGCACAGGAAAGGCCCCAGGCCATTTTTATCAAGTGAAAGCAAATTCAAATCCTTTCCTCCAAACATTAGGTAACAGGGCCTGTAAGAACGCCTTTAATGGGAATTTTCAAGATGTGTTTAAATCCATCAAGAACAAGCAAAAGTCTCCAGCAAGTGATGCCTCTTTCCTTCTGCCAAGACAACTCTCGATGAGAGATGTCTGTCTCCATAAGAAATAGTTCGCATGCCTCATTCAGGAGAGCGGTTACTCATCTATACGCACGCCGCCGTTCCCTCTATTTAATCATCATGTTCTAGGCCGGCTTGGAGGAATCGCCCGGTAGGGGTCGCTGCTGTCCTTGCACGATTGCGCCACCTCCCCCGCCGGTGCTGCTAGGGCAGGGAAGGTGAAAGGTTGGCCGGAGCCAAAAGGCGGAGGGAGACAAAAACGCCGGTTTGGCAGCCCAGCCGCAAGCCGGCACCGGGGAGGTGCCAAAGTCAGCGCCGTCCCGGAGCAGCTCCGGGTTCCCAGCCACGAAGGAGGCGTCACGCCGGCAGCTGAGCGGAGGCGTCGTTCGCCTTGAAGGTAGCGCACGGGAGCAGCCGCTGTCGCCCGCTGCCTCTGGGCTGGGCTCGGAAAGCGGCTGCCTGCTCGCCCGCCCGCCCAGCACCATCCTGGGCCATGCCGGCAAAGGTGGACCGGGAAGCCGAGCCTCATCCAAGGAGGAGGAAGAGAGGGTCGGGCAAGGAGGTAGCGCTGACCTCTCGGACGCTCGGCTCCCTTAGGTGGACGAGAAACTGAGCAAGCGGACCCACGCCGGCGCAGGTGGCGTTAGCTTCTGCTGCGCCCGGGGCTCGCTCCGCTTCTCGCGGG